AAAAAGAGACAGAAACACTGTGTTATAGGACAAGAAAGCCCTTTCCAAACAGAAATGGTTCAGAGCAGGAGGGTTTTGTGCTTCTATGGAGGGAAAAGGAGCACAGGGATCGAAAGAAACATTATTAGAAGCCTTAGGTTTTTTTACATCCAGTCCAGCAAGTTTATGGAAGCTTTTAAAATTATGAGGAGCAATCATGAGCTAAAGACGGAAAGAAACTGGTAGTTGAGTATGTAACTGAGACGGGTGTGATTCTTTGTATTCGCCGTGGGCCAGAGAAGTCAGGAAAAATGTGAGGTGTTGGTGGCACAGATGAAATTGTAGCAGAAGTGAAATCTAGACACAAGAAGTAGCAGATAAAAAATAATAATCTATCACAGAAACATTATGAGGCAAATTCCCTGACAACACAACTCCATTGAAAGTAAGGTATCTAAACCATCTGGGAATTGGGCCATAAAACTCAGGTGACAAGAACTCCATGGAGAAGTGCTGGAAACTTACTTAAGTCAGTTAAATGCAACAGTTCCTTCTTTAAAAAAAATTTAAAAAAAACCCCACTTCATTATGTTTTGGGGAGGTGACCTTTCTACTTGGAAAGTCAAGCCAAGTGGTGAGGGAGAGAGAAATAAAAAGTTGAGAAGAGCTAAATTTATAAAGATATGAATGAATTGGGAATAGAAACACTGTTACAAAGGAATGTACATGTGGATGGTGCAAACTTTCGGGGCTATTTTTGATGAACTGTAGGAGGAATTTCAGTTTTTCAGCACCTTTTTTACAAAAAGAAAACTCTTCATCTGGTGGGAATTCAGTCAATTTCCTCATGGTTTTTTGTCATTTCCTAAGTTGCAAGGTTACTAATGGTAATTACAGACCCTATTTGTACCTTGTGGCTCTAACTGTGCAGAAAGGATATCTTGGCACACGTGCCTCTCCCGGTAGAGGGGTTTTAAATGACTAACCCTCAGTAGGAATCACTACCATGCTCAGAAACAGATAGAAGCCACCTTTCCTCATTTCTTTCTTGTAGAGTAACTGCTTCTTGCTCACATTTTGCTATCTCCATCCCCCATGACAATAAACCACAATTTCAGTGTTCATTATAACAGCTGTTACTACAGGGCTGTTGTGAAGGAGCCTGTTTTAAGGTGTTTTATTCAAAAGTATAACAAACCTGGTCCTTCTCAGGATTTCACACAAAAAAAGATGCTATAAAGCAGACAAACTGATTCAATAACAAGTGCAAAAAAGTCAAAATTTTTCAAGCCAAAAAGGGCTTCTTTTTTTTTTTTAAGAGAAGAAAACAGTGCACTGAAAAGCAATCAGATGCTCTATTTCTTTTAGCTCTCTTCAGTGTGAAAGCACCAATATGTTTGATTCAATGCAAAAAAAGATCTACCGATATTTGGTAGATCTCTTGCATGCTACTGCTGGTCCTTAGCACAACAAAATTTCCTTCGCTATGGCTTCTGCATTCAGGCCTTCCTTTTTGTATATTTGGTCTGCAAAACATTTGGTGTGTGTCAGTTTGGCCAGTGAGTAATCCCATTTGCATTCACTCTGTTGAATTTACATGACTGATTTTAAGTCAGTGAGTTCAGTGGGTTTAAAAACATATTAAATAAAAAACATATTAAAAATATATTAAAATATAATCCAAGTGGTGCTCAAATCTCTGGGAATGATTTAAGTAAAGTTCAGTTATAAGACACTCCTTTTCCCTTTATCCTCCCGTCAGCGTTTGATAATTTATATGCATTTTGCTGACAAATAGAAAGTGTGAACTTGATCTGCCACCATCGGTGGAATAAACTGTAAGAGAATGAAGTGCATTTTTTTAAATATATAGTAGTGTCTTAGTTTTCAGGAAAGAATCCCACAGGAACTGTACAAGGTATTGGAATTGGGGTCTATCATTGCAAAGTTCATTTTGGAGGTTAAAGGGACTAAAACCCAGTTAGCAGTTTTAGTAAAATCAGAATTGCAGAAATAGGAGTGTGTCATGGTTTATTCCTATGAGAGTTCCAAGAGTGTAATCTTCCTTTGCTTTGCCCAGCTGCAGGTGTATCTCACAACCTTCCTGCAGCTCATGTTCCTTCCCATAATCTCTCTTCAACTCCAGTATTTGTTTACTTTTGCTTGTGTCAGACACTTTGGCAAGTAAGGAATTACTAATAAGATGTTGTCTTCAGGCTTCAGCATTAGTATTATGATTTGTAGGTTTTCAGAACCTGTGTCAAGAGTCTTCTATTGTTCAAACACTCATATTTTGAAACCCACAAATGCCACATTACACCACATTCCTTTAAACCAACCTGCAAAGCTCACAGCACATCCATCCTCAGCTACTGCATCATAGCTGTGTGAGGGCAGGTGTAGATTAGATATTAGAAAGAAATTCTTTGCTGCAAGGGTGGTGAGGCACTGCCACAGATTGTTTAGAGAAGATGTGGCTGCCCCATCCCTGGAAGTGTTCAAGGCCAGGTTGAATGGGACTTGGAGCAACCTGGTCTAGTGGAAGGTGTCCCTGCCCGTGTCAGGGGTGGCTGGAGCTAGATGATCTTGAAGGGTCCTGCCAACCCAAACCCTTCTAGGATTCTATGATCCTCTGAAATCCGGGGCACAACATCTGTACCAAGGCTGGGGTCTGAATCATGGAAGAGTAAGATTTCATTAGTACATTCGGGGTTTAGACTTCCAAGAGAGAAATTACACCAGAATGTGATTCAGTCCTTGCCATACATTTCTATATGTATTTCCTATGAAAAAGACCAATAACTGATAGGTGCTTTCTTAACCTCTTCCTTTATGTTTTTAAATGCTGCTGGTAAAGAAAATTTCCTTGGGTGGCATTTAGAGACTCGACTTCTGTTCCTTAGCAGTCAGGAGGACTCAGTTCCTGAGAAGCTCAGCCCATAATTACAGATTTTCAATGTTTGGTTTGTGGGTTTTATAATTTTTTTTCCTCATAAACCCATTTAGATATTAAAAAACATATTTTACTGTCTCGATGCAAGTCATTGACTTTTTTTCCGTTGCATTTAATAAACTTGAAGTGAAAATACCATTTATTAATTATTTTGACAAATGTACTTTTAACATGTTTTATTTCTGTTATCTGTTTTCTCTGTGTGCAGATATGTATGCTTGCATAACATTGCATATATACATTAGTTTTCCAACAGGCATAAATTCCAGGCCATGTTGTTACATGAAGCAGAGCACTATCATTTATTTACTCTTTCTCAGCTCTGCTTAAGTTCTAATATATTTCCAGCTGAGTAAAGATGAGCCCTCTGAATAGGAAGACGTTTTTGTCCAATTTCCATCTGTATCTCAGCCCTTCATTCTTCTTTTCTCCCTCCCCCTTCCCACTTGCCTTCTTACACTGTCTCAGTCTTTTGTTCATCCTTTCTAACCTCACAATCTAACAAAACACTTTTAAAACCACAGGACAGCATTTTTCCAAAGTCCTCTGGATGCCCAAATAGAGACATTTCAACATTACCTGATTTCCAAGAGATTAGGTGACTGATGAATACATGCCTCCTGGAGGTGTCTGAATCACTTCCCATGGAAAAAAGACACAGAATATCACAATCAGTTTCAAATTCCCAAGTGCATTCCCAGTTCAGACAGATACAGGTTGCTGCGTGTATGTGTCCTGTTAGCAGTGGTAATTATTAAATGAGTCACACATAATTGAGACTTTCTTTTTATTGGTAATTGTTCTAAGAGGGTTTTCCTGTGATCCATTGAGTAACATCTCTTTTCTTCGATGCAAGAATGTATAAAGAAGGCAAATTAGCTATCAAGTGCCCAAAGGCATGAATTTCTTTTATTCTCTCTTTCAGATTATTCCAATCTGACCATCACATAGACGTCATTTTTTTAATGTTGAATACTCAGATAAGGGTGCCATGGATGTAAAAGAGAGGAAACCATATCGATCTCTGACTCGGCGCCGTGACACTGAGCGTCGCTACACGAGCTCTTCAGCTGAGAGTGAGGACAGCAAGGTACCCCAGAAGTCCTACAGCTCCAGCGAGACCCTGAAGGCTTATGATCAAGATTCCAGGTTGACCTACAGCAATCGGGTCAAAGACATGGTGCACCAGGAGGCCGATGAATTCTGCCGAGCAGGTGGGTACTTTTCAGCAGATGGATCTGTAAGCAGTGTGAGTGAATCAACTGAGAGCTGGGGCTGGGTGGGAGGATACCTTTGAAGGACTCTGAGGCTGAAAGGAAGATATAACAGAGAGATTCAAAGAGAGCAGCAAGGATCATCTTCATTGCATTTCACAGACGTGTGCAGACCAGTGTCCTTAAGTGGCATACCCATGCCCCATGTTCATTAGCATTTACTAAGACACGTTTTCTGTGTCTTAGTCTTTCTGCTTCCAACAGCACTTTGCCACTTCCTACCATGAGACTAGAACCCCCGTGCATGTGCTGTACAGTACTGACATGGTGTGGAAAGCTCTTGCCTGCTCAGGAGAACTTTCGCTATGTCGTGTCCCTGCTCTGTTATGAAGGAAGCTGAGGCAGAAGACAGGGAGAGGAGAGTGCCACTGTCCACAATGTCCATTTGGTCTACAGCAAAACGCAATAATCCTGGAAGAAGAAAGGCAACTGAGCTCCAGATGGGATGCACCGCCCTTGGCATTGTACATGGCCTGCAGGCTTTAGATTTGACTTGGGAACATGCTCCAATATTAGAGGAGTAAGGAACCACTTTTAGGACTTACAGATGCCCATTAAGTGCATCTGGGTCACAGTGTCTGTGAAGATGTGGAGTTTCAAGGGTCGCCATGGGCACCACAGTCCTAACAGAGATTCCAGATATTCACTTTCTTATTGCTACTCCAAAGTCATTGTAGTTACATTTTCACTGCTGCTGTTGCCTATGTGCAGTAGATTTCTGGCCCCTGCTATATCTTGTCTTCATTTTTCTGTAGAGGCACAAGTGTTGTAGTTCAGAAGCCAAGCAGGACTTCACATAAATTATTTTTAGAAGTCTCTCAAGAAAAGCACAAAATGGCAAAGTGAGTCAAATAGAGTAGGCAGCATACCAAAAAATTAACATAAACTAGTCAACCCAGAGTTCTCTGAACACATCCTCTGCAATTTGGAGGAGCTTATTCCCCAAAGGGAATGCATACAATTGCACTCTTTAAACTTGAGGGGTGCTTAATTTTACTCCTCAAACATCATGCACTTGTGGTTTTGGTGGAAGATACATCTTTAAGGCACGCAAAAGCAAAACAATTTTCAGAAGTATCTTTGTGTTTGGTGTTTGTATTTCAGGATAGCTGCAAAAGGCAATAATCAACAGAAGGGCCAATAGGTGTTGTAAATAGTACTGTGACATCATAAAAGCGCTTTCCCTCTTAGCAACACTGAAGTACTTCATCCTCTCTAAGGAATCTGCGATGTTATAAAGAAAAGGAAACTTTAAGTCATTGAGTTTGCTCACTTCATACAATATATTCACCATGCAGGATAGATGTGAATTAGTCCAGGTCAGCGGTTTTCAACTTGAGGGTCTATAAGGCCATACAGGTCCACAAACTTCTCCTAAGAAGCCCACAAAAGGTTACTTTTCTTGAAAAGGGAGTATAAATTTGCTATACACAAATTCATAGGGAAATTTTGGATTGTACTGAGAAATGGTAACAATGACTGGTCAAAGTGACTGAAATTAATTGAGAAGTTAAGATTAACCATGTCTGGGCATCAGTTCTATTTCTGACATAACACTCATAGATTGTTCAGTTTCAAGCTTTTTCCTAGTTTATCCTGAGAATCTCTAAACTGGCCTGATGGTTACAATAAACCCAGACTTTCTGTGCCACATTTTCCACTGGCAATAAGCCATGAATAGACCTCACTGTGTGATGCTGCTTGGCCTCCTGCCAACTGAAACCAAGCCTTATTAGCCTGCTCGACATCAACAAGGCAAAGTGAATTTCTCTCATGCGTTGGTTTGGAAGGCAGAGGAGGGAAACATTTCAAATAGACCAAATAAATTCAGTAAATAAACAAGTCAGCATTTAAATGATTTTAGCTAGAGTGAGTGCCAGCAAATGTGCAAGTCAGCACAGGAGAAAATAGACCAGATCTGAATTAAAAAGCCTCAGATATTTATTATCTTCTCTTTATTGACTTGAGTTCTTCCAGCTTAAAAGGCAACAGTGAGCATAGAATATGAAAATCAATGCATCTGCTGCTGTTTATTGCAAATAAATTTGATTTTCAGTTAATTGTAGCAGTCATTTTTCATAATTTATGAGCTGCTGTTACTGGATAGCATCAGTCATGCTGCATGTTGATGTGCCTGATGATGCTGTGTGGCTTGTTTCAGGGAAAGGTAGGACTCACAGTCAGTGACTCAAACACAAGCAAAACCAAAAGATGTTTTCCAATCCTCTAAAAAGGATGGCTTAAAAATGATCCCAGCCTTGCACATACATCAAAACTGGAAGAGAAGAGCAAGGTCTTCGTGGAGATACTGCTTCCTTGTGTTTACAACTTAGGTCGAGTTATTTGCTACCTCATTCCATGAAGTCGTAGAGGACGCTCTCACAAACTACTTTGCAATCAAGTTAAATGAATTACTTTGCCACAAGTTGCATGGTGCTTCACAAGCAAAGCCCAAGGGTTGGACAGAGGTGTGAGCCCTAAGCCACCTTTTCTGTCCACTCTATCTGAAAGCTTTATTCTAGTTTGGTCTATTAAAAAGGTGTGAAGTTCATGAATGCTTTATGAACTTTGAGTGTTCTCGGCTGTAGATCTGTGACCAGCTGAACCAGTTACTTCCTCCTGCCATCAAACAGTTCCTTCTCTGAGCTTTACATGAACATGTTGTCCAGTCTCATTATTTACCTTGCATTCACTGAGAGCTGCAAAGTCAACTGAATGAAAAAATGCAGTAACGTAGCATCTAGTTTAGGCCAGCTGTCTTCTGACACATGTGCTCTAACACAAGAGACCTTCCCTAGGCAGAGGGGTTCAAGGACAAGCCCAGGGTGTTTCAACATGTGCGAAACCATACTCTGGAAAAGTAGAAATCTGATTATTTCTGTTGGATACACATTTTCCCCTATATGCTATTTAACATCAACAAATGGAAATGTGAGGAGAACCCCATGATTGTGGGGTCTTGAGAAAGGGGAAAATGATAATTCAGTTTTGGAGACAACATTGAGATGCAGATTCGATGAATTGATTTCAGTAATGAGTAGATATGAACTTTGGTGTTTACAGGTAGGTTTGTACCTGAACGTTCCTGGGGATTGTTCATTCAGATTTGTCTTGTTGAAATATGTCTGAGCTGGAAACACTGCTCAGTTCCTTCATCCATCCAAAGCATGGCGTAACAGAAGCAGGGGTGCATTGAGCTGTATAAGTGCACTGTGAAGCTAAAGGCACTCATGGGCAGCCAAAACCTTTTCAAGACATTCTGGGTTGAAAAATAAATGCATGCATTGATAGATAAATGTGGATTAAAATTGCTCTCCCCAGCCTCCTTGTGCAACTTTCCAAACAAAGTGTGCTAATATTTGAAGCCTCATTCACATCAATTCAGTATGATTTTGAAGCTCTGCAGGTAACTAGTCATGAAGTCAAGAGTCACTTTTCAGGTTGTATTTTTAGTCAGCTAAACAATTGCATCTATTTGCAGCCAAATAACCTCTGCTGTGACTGTATCAGAATGAATAGCTAAACTGAGTCAAGGTGTGAGTGGTCAGCAAGGGGAAAGTGAAATCACCAGAGGAAATTTAAATCCCCAGTATGTAATTTCAGGGATTTCAGTGAGCAGAATTCACTCAAATTGCCTATTGTAGTGAAGTTGCCAGGTGTATGGTAGGACTTTTGATCATTGCACGCCTCATTTTGCTTTTCTCCCAAGAAGATTAATTTTGCCTCTCCTAAAGAGTTCCACCATTTCTACATCCATCTTTGCTTTCAAATTTGATGATTTCATTTAACATGCCCTGAGTTTTTGTCAGGTTCTGGAAGCAGGAATCCAGCTGCTTTTTGGTCTTGACATACGAAAAGGAGGTTGTTGTGAGGTGGGGGCCAGTCTCCTCTCCCAGGTAACAGGCAATAGGACAATGGGAAATGGCCTCAAGTGACATCAGGGGAGATTGAGATTGGATATTAGGAAAAATTTCTTCACTGAGAGGGTGGTCAGGGATTGCAACAGGCTGCCCACAGAAGTGGTAGAATCATTGCCTCTGGAAATGTTAAATAAAAGTGTAGATGTGGTGCTTAGAGACTGGTCTAGTGGTGGATTTGGAAGTGCTGGGTAATGGGTCTCAGACTAAGCAAGACCACAGAAGTGAAGACTCTTTGGTGTGACGTCAGGACTTGTGAGCTGCTCTGCCCTACATGAAGACAGAGGATGAACATTTCTGCCATTGACTTGTGCTAGATAGAACTGTGCTCTAATAAAGAATAACCAAGCCTATGTGTTTTCTCACAGGAGCCAACTTCTCTTTGCGAGAACTGGGTCTTGAAGATGTGACACCCACACATGGAACTTTGTACCGGACCGATATCGGGCTGCCTCACTGTGGCTACTCCATCAGCGCCGGATCGGATGCTGACACAGAGGCAGACGTGGTCATGTCACCCGAGCACCCAGTGAGGCTCTGGGGACGCAACACCAAGTCTGGACGCAGCTCCTGCTTGTCGAGTCGGGCCAACTCCAACCTCACCCTCACCGACACAGAGCATGAGAATACTGAAACTGGTAAGTGGTGACAGCAAATGAGGTGTCAGCCTTGAGCTCTACCAGGAATGACTCTTCTTACCACTTCACCCTAATCTTCCTTAGGTTTCGTATTGGGGGTTTTTTTATCAGGCTCGATAAAGACACTCTTTTAACAACCCCATGTCATGGCCTTTTGTACTGACCTACAAAGTGTTTGTTAATGAACTGCTGGAGAAGCTCCTACTTATTTATCACTGCGACAGAGATCATTAAGTATCTGTAATACTCTCCCTGCTTTTTGCAGCAACCAAAAAGCATTTAAATCTCCCCTCCCCTGGCTAATGCTATCTTATCTTTGCTACAGATTTTTGGGGCAGATAATTTCCTTCTTTTCCTTGCTGGTTCCTTGACAAGAGCCATTTCATTTATGTAAATGGGCTGACTGCTCTCTGAAGGAAAACAGTGGCAAAATATTTTTAGAAGCCTTTTTCTTTACGCGAAATAGAAGCTGAAGGTCACTGATTTTTTTATGTCTGTAACTTTGTGTCCCCAGCTGTGGGGATTCCTGCATGCATTTTGTAGGTCTGTGAACATTTTGGTCAGCACTTCTGCCAAGCAGTGTAGGAAGGAGAGAGGATTTTGATTCAATTGCAGCTTGACCCAGGAGTTCATCCAGCCCTATATGCCTTTGCACCTTTAATTCAATTATAGTACAGTCTGCTTCTTAATATAGCTGCTGCATACAAGTCGTCAGGCGCTTGAGCTCAGCACAGAAAGCTGATGTGAAATGACTGTATCGCTTGTTCTTTTCATGCTTTTTGCCACAGTATTATAGTGACAAATGATGATAAGTTTTCCTCTGGAAGCCATGACACGGTGAGACATATACCACCCACATGATTTTATGTTTAACTCCAACAAAATTACAGTAGAAGCTTATTAAGTTTCTGCTCAGAGATAATGATGTATTAGGCAGAGTTCAAAGATAAATGGCCTTCTGTTTAAAGAATGTACAGAGGAATCTTTTTAAATTATCTTTACCAAATTTTTTAAGTTTTTTAGTGTAATATCTTACCGGCAGACACGCAGTGCTCAGTTATATTGTCTTCCTTCTGATCCTTGTGTTTTGATGAAAAATCAGAAGGATCATCAGGGTCAATTAGAGTTTTGCATACTCACTAGAAAACAGCCAAAAGCTTGAACTTCCATCCCATTCTACTCTATTGAAAGCTCTCTCTTGTGCTTTCCATGGTGGTGTGTGAGCAGCTGTGTCCCATACATTTTTCTTTCTATGCCTACTCAGAAAACCAAAATACAGAATTTTAGTTTTGAGGTTTGGGTTTTTTTGGTCTTAAGAGAGAAGAATTGCATTATCTGCTGGAGTCTTTTCCACTGATTTCTGTAATGCTATCTCTACATTTGCAAATGCAATTTTGTACCTACAGATCACTTACAAATGAAATTTTATTAGAAACAACACATTAGCAACTTCACATGCCTTTGAAAGGCCTTTCTGAAAGCAACCACAGAGGCAGTAATTCTCATGTCAGGAAAGAGACAACCTTGAACCTGTTCCCTTAAATTTAGTGACACACAAACCAGTCATTGAACCATAATATCATAGCAATTAGAAAAAGGGAAATAAGGAAGATGGAGGACATACAGTGTTGTACAAATGTAGAATTAGTTTCTTTGGGCCCTTGGCATTTGCAGTCTTAGATGTTGGGTGTTTTGAATGAGAAAGACTATATCATACCCAAAAGTACAAAATCTGTGTAGCACAAATAAAATCTTGATCACTATGGTATCCAGTATGTAATTGTATTGTTAATATTGACGAAAAAGAGATGATGGGACTTGAGGGAAAATATTACAGTCCAAACTGTGCTGGCGGTGAGCTTCATCTGATGCTTAGAGTTCCCTGGGAATATGTCATGGACACGAGCCAGGTTCAGGTCAGAAAAACTTGTCCAGAACATATTATTTCAATATAAGGATTGCAGTTGAATGGGTAGTATAAAACATATCCAAACAAAGGTTGCAACAGAGAAAGAACAGAAGGATTAAAAAAAGTCTTAACTGTACTCAAAATTTGAGTGTTTTCTCTGTGTAATTGCTTAGCACAGATAAAGGTGTGAGAACCCTTTGTGCACAAAACCCTCACAGCCTGAGACCTGCTGTTGGAGCAAATGAAGCCTGAGATCCTCTCAGAAGCTTTGTCTGGTAAACACAAAGGTTGCTCTGTGTTTCCTTCCTCTGCACATTAGCAGTGTTACTCTGGGCTGCTAGCTATCACACAGGCTATTTTGAGAAAATCCAGATTTATAGGAAAAATATTTGCAAGAAGACATGAAATTTTGCTAATGGAAATGTAAAATAACATAATGCTATGACTCAGTTTACAGGATACCTTTATGAGTCAATATTAATTGTTGACAGTATTGATAGAAGTTATAGCCTTTAGCTGAAGTCAATATGGACTTTATGAACGTGCCATCAATAGAAGATTTTATGGGGCCCATTAAACTAACTTTTCCAATGAAGGTCAACATCAGCAATTTTTATGCTGTTCATTATTTATCCAAAATAAATAATCAGAATTTACTTCTGATGTTTGTAAATCCAAAGCTGTCAAAGGACAATTCTACCAAGATATGTGTTGTGTTCTTAGAAAAGGGGAGATCTGCCTCCCTTGAAAAGCCGGTTTGTTTTCATTTCAGAAATTGTGATGTCTTGAAAGAACAGATCCACTGCTCAGAATGTGCAGTCACGATCCACCC